CCGCAACTCCGCCCGACCGATATAAGTATACCTAAAAGTCTCTTTATTAAAGACCTCAAAGACATACAATAAGAAATATATACATTATATTTTACAATATACTACTTAGGTAACATTTTTTTTTAATCTGTAATCTTTAGTAACTCGACCGTTAAAATTAATGATAAAAGATTAAAATTAATCCACTGAAGTGATTCGCTTCAGTGAAATAATTAATCTTTATCACCTAATCGGAACACGTGGCTTGAAGTATGAGCAGAATATATTTTTATTTTGGTAGTAAATGGGAGTTTAAGTAGACAGGTTTATAAGATTCTCATGTCCAGTCTTAGGCCAAAGTGAACCCAAAAATTAAGGCTTAGGTTAGGTTAGGTTAGGTTGGTAGGCTGTGTCACGAAAGTCGTTTTTGGTCCTCGTGGCTTCTCCCAAAAGGCAGAAGACGGCACGAAAGCTGAGTTTTTTAGTGGGTGCAAGCCCCACATAACCTCACCGTCTCCCCGGGCGGTGTGTGTATGCGTAAGGCATTTTTCTCAGCTAGAAAAAAAAAAAAAAAAAAAAAGCTTGGTAGGCTGTAATTATAAACCTTTTTCAATCCAGAACCTTTGGATCAATCTTTATTTTTGGCAGACTTTCCATACAGATCAAAAATCGATCTTAAACCACATGTTTTAGGTTGCAATCGGTTAATAATTACTTCGGCTATTAGTACATTCTTAAGGCAATTCGAACTACTATTGGATCTTGACAAAATTTTCTACTTTCCACGCTTTACCTATTATGTTCCCTTCTAGGTAAAACCTCTTGAATAAAGTGGTACCTATAGTACTTTCCAAAAAAAACTATTGATACCTACTTGGTATACTTACATTGTTTTTAATCCTTCCATAACTTTTTTATCTTAACCCAGTAACATCGAAATATGACCCTTAATAATTATTATAATTACAAAAAATCAACTCTCCTTAAATATTTGGAGAAGGTGTGATACAGGTACACACTTGCATACGTTATGTGTGCACGTAGGATAATTATAGGTAAATATTTGTCACAACAATTTACATTTAGGACTCTTTTATTTAATTTCATACTGACGCTAGCAACCAACCTCTTTGGTAATAAAATGCAACAGTTACTGGCCATAAATTGCGAAAAATTGTAGGAAAAGCCGTTAAGGTTTTCTTTGCCAGGCTCTTAGCAAAACAAAAGCAACGCTCTGATTGGTAGTTATTATTCTAATGGATTATTTTTGTTGATAAGGTTTTTTGAAAAGGACAATAATAGAAATCTTTATGTTGTCGTTCGACGTGGATGACGATGAAGGTAGATTAAAGAGAAGAATTGTGTTTTTTTTTATGAGTTGAACAATATGCAAAATCATTCAAGGCAAATGGGTGCCCAAAGACTTCAAAGTTTCTTCATAACCGTCCGACTCTCACTTTTTGAGTTCTCCCGCAATGAATGCCTATTATATAAATATATTAAAATATTGACGTAGTACATGACCAAGCGACCACCTTTTTTTGTGAGCGTAAAATCATCTAATAACTTCTCTCATTTCGTATGTGGCAAGAGAAGAGATAGTGTCAGACTCTTAAAGAATTCAAACTCTCCGTTCTTTCTTTATTACGCTTGCCCCGCACCCTCGGCTGAACATCTACTCTGTAGGGAACCGTCTGATGATGCTGGGTCACAAAATGTTAAGGCAATATTTTACTGTTTAATGTTTTGTAGAACTTTAAGACTTAAAAACTCATCTATCGATATTGCACACAACACAATCGTAGCACGGTTCAAAAATCTAATATCGCTTCTACACTGAAACAAGCTTTGCTTGTCTGGAACTTTTCAGATTTCCACCATACGGTGGCGGTGTGGTCCACACCGCCATGGCTATTTTTTACTTTTTTCTGTTCCTATTTATATTTATCTTAATGGTTTTTTTCGGTTAGATTGAGTCAGTTACTACTAGTCTTATTGCAAAATTCATTAGTCTTCAACCTGGTTCAATTGATTATTGTGTATCTACCTTTAAAATCCCTACCGCGAAATCTCTTTTTTTTAAATTAAATGTAAACAAAACTAATGCTTGTGCGGATTTCCCACTATTTTTCCGGTTATAATGTAACGTTTTTCATTTGTGCTTTTCAAAATTTTTCTTTCATAGGAACACCATCTCCCGAAAATAAAACAACAAAAATAAAAATATGTCAAAATTGGTCATTGTTAAAACATAGGTACGCTTACTGACACAACATATATATTGATGTAGATATATAGTTATAGATAAAAAAAGAATATAGATAGTTATATACATAGAACAGAATATTCATCTAGGATAGAAATAAATAAAACATTAATAATTTCGTAATATGTAGGTATTTCTACCGACCTTTTTTTGTCAGGGGAAAATCATCTAATAACTTCTCACGCCCAGGGTAAGGCGAGAGAGAGTGTCAGACTCTTACTGACTAAAACCCCTCTGTTCCTTCTCCTGCTCTGGGGCGAGGTCGCGGTGCCTCTTTGCGCTTACCCCGCAACTGTATGATTAACTAAACTTTAACTACTTAATGTATTTCTACCGACCTACCGATTACGATTCACATAAGTTGTATCACTTCACTAAACATCCAAACCATTAACAAAATAATCTTACGTATTCAAAGGGAAGAACTATAGTGACAAAATAGGGATCTAAATCCTCGAAATAACTATCGTTAACAATTTACAAACTATTATCAGACAAAGGATCTCACAGTCCGTAAGGCGCCAATCACTGGTTGCGGCGAGAGATCCTTACAAATCTAATAAATCCCTTTGTCCACCCGCCTGAAGGGCCTCAAACATTTCTACGGATGTTTCTTGAGCCGTGGTCACTGCACGACATCTTATAAACGACACATATATCTTAAACTAGTTTTATACCCGTCTAAAGCTTCACGTCCTTAGAATTGAAGTGTCTCTCAAGAGGTAAATGGCATCTTTCTTTCAATAAAATAATTTACCGAAACGTAAAATGCAATTATTTTTTCAAAAAATAGTATTTTTTAGAAAGGACTTACTTCAATACCTACAACTGCCACGACAATATCAGATTTTTTTAATGTTTTAGTAAAAACACTGTTTTTTACAAGAGTGTTTTCTCTTCGACGTCGTTATTATTGGAAAACACAATTTTCCCATTGAAACATAGCCCCAAGTTAGCTACGATACAAACATTTTTATTTCATAATGAGCAAACATAGATAGGTACTCTATACACTATTTGTTATAAATTGGATCGAAACACAAGGTATTATTAACTCAATTTTATAATTGAATATGACCATGGATCGCTTAGCAGTTGGTAAAAAGACTTAATAAAAAAATATAGAATTAATATGCGTAACTTTTATGTTAAATATTTTAAAATAAGCTGTCAAAACTTTTCGGAGTGTTACCGTAATACGCGGGAAAAGTTTAAGTCCCGCTTTTAGTTTCTGAGTATTATAGTCTGTGGTCGGCCACAGCTGTCATCAGTCGCGTGGAAGGGTCAATTCACACGTCACCGGTTCTTCGACAACTTTGACTTTGTTATTACTAACAGTTCACTTCACCCTGACGTGGAATTTGACAAATATTTGCCCTCCGATTTCCAACAGTCGAGATTGGCTAACAAGATATGTTTTGCAAACGTAAAAATCCAATTAAAACTCGCAGACGAGACGCCATGACAGTTTTCAATTTCAAACGTCAACTAAAATCTACAAACATATTTTCCGTATGTCATGTATACATTGTGTAAATGTATATTTCGTACATAGCACCTGTCGGCATTTTTTGCTGTGATGTAAACATACAGTTTTATAATTATAAAGGTTTAATATGAGTCTCAGTTGTTACTAAAACTAAACTTGTTAAAAAACTCAACCGTATGTGTAATGTAAATATGTAAGCATAAAAGACAATTTATATTCTGCCTAGGTCCCGGTAGTAGATAGATACCTGCGTACATACACATTGGCAAACTCAGAGCAAAACAAAGTTGGTACACCATTTTCAACTAGATACACACTAGGTATCCTAATCTACTAATTAGGTGAAATTAGTTTTATCTCATTCAAAACAACCCCAAAAACAGAATTCATAAATAAAAATAATTGAAGATGAAGTCAAAAAAATCTGCTACATATAAGACAGTAAAGAATGATACATTTGTAATGATACACTACCATACTTTCCCATATAGTGTCTAGGTGACCCAGAGGTTAAGACACGCGCTTCTCATGCATGAGGATGCGGTTTCGATACCTGGTAAGTACCAATGTGACTTCTTGCGAGTTATACGTACTTCCTATGAATATTTAGACACCACTACACGGTGATGGAAAACATAGTTAGGAAACCTGGACTTATAATTTCTTATTATCGCCAATCCGAGTGATGAACTTGAGCTTGAGCAATGCTTGGTGATTAATATTCAAACATTATCCATGTCTGATGAGGCCTTTGCTCAGCAATTATAGGCTGATGATGATGACTCTTTCCTACAGGTGTCGAAATCGCCGACTAGGGGATAATACAGTCGGGGTTGCGGGTGCAAGCACCCGCAACAAGCATCTTAGTGAAGTGCAGCCCCGGCCAGTGCAGAAAAAAGAATGGCATAGTTTTTAGCCAGTAAAAATTTGACACTCCTTCTCGCCCAAACCAAGGTGAGAGAAGTCACAACATGGGATAAATACCTCTAACCGAACATCAGTGCAGATAAACCCAAACTTTATAAAACTCCAATTTCTATGCCGCTTGCCAAGCGTGAAGATTAAGGGATCTGTCAGATTCATTGCAAGCCTCATCAATTTAAACTAATGGCTATGACCTCTCGATGGTGCCCATGACAAAATACCAATATCTGAATTGTCAGGAAAAAGGCAGAAAATGATCCTTGTTTTGAAAGTGACCAAAAAAATTTAATGTGCAGTAGGCACACAGGTGAAAACTCGCCACGATAAAAACGCGCCACATACCTTCTACGAGTACTTTCTACTGTCAGGTGGAATTGATGTTTTTTCAAAAATGCGTTCTGCATTGCAGGTACTTTACGACGCATCCACCTACACCAAAACTACGCAATTTTAAATTGTAGTAAATTGTGTTTAGTTAAATTTTTCTGTAAATGTTATTCTCGGAAAAGAGAATTTCGTATACAAATAACTGTGTAATTAGCCGAATTTTTTTCAAAATGGCGGCTGCAAAATTGCCAAATGATAAGCAATCTGTGGAAACTGAACTTATTAGATTAGGTTAACTAAAAATAGTAAATAAAACAAATGACAAAACGTCGAAAATCACATTGTTCGGTCAAATATTTATGCTGTAGAATATCCTATCACTATAACAAAATATAAATGAAAAAGTACTAAGCGCTGCAGAATTTGCGTCGGTATTCAAGTATTCAGTGAGGGAATTGGTTTCGACTATAAAAGTATCGCTGCGCTCATTCGCAAACATCGGTTCTCGTCAATGGACACATATTGAACGTACCGTGTGCAACATTCTTTAACACGTGCAAATAAACATGGCGTGAACGAAACGTATTTTCGAAGGAAAATCTGACTAATACTTCGCCAGTTAATCTTAGACTGCAAATAAAACAAATATTTACTAATTTCATGTAACTACAAAGTCATTCAAATGTGTTTTTACGTTGGAGTATTTCTAGCTTCGAATAAAATACAAAGAAACTGCTTTATATGTGTGCATCACCACTTCTTTTCAATCAACGGTTGCTATGAAAAAGTAGTAAACAAAAATACAAGATCGTTCCCTGACAATAGAACTAGCTGTCTTTTGTCGATACAAGAAAAACTGCCCGAGTCCCGTTCTCTGCACTGTAATAATAGATACGGGAAATGTGTATTCTGGCTTCTTCAATGCATTTTTTTATGTTGGACAGTGTATTATTAAATATTAACTATATATTTAAGCTTGTCTCTTATGTATAGGTACATATATGACCACTCATTATAGGTGGTGATTCGTGGCGTGCAACGTATTGCAGGTTTGATTTAGCACAGAAAAAGTCTTTATGTAATCAACAATTTTTTTCCCTTCACTAACAACAAACAAATTTATAGATTTTAGAAGCGAAAGAACTCTCAATACGGCTTTTTGTTTGATTTCCCCAAGATTATTTATAACACTGATGAACACAGAATATCACCTAGTTATACTACGTCTCCAGCACTGAAACACCAAGTTTTTGCATTCAGAAACACCAAAATTTTTCTTACATAACAAAAGAACTATTCAAAAATCTCAACAGAACCGAATAATAATGGAAATAACCTCTTTCCTACCAGTAAAAGGCGTGGATACAAATTCAAAAAGTAATAGATACACACTTTGTCATCTATACTATCTGAATACTCGTGATATTTATGTTTGACTTTTTGTTTGTGTATTACGTAGGTACACGACATAAAAGCGTTCTCAGACTCTCGTCCCGAGGGAAGGTGATATCGTTTCCCGAAATATGTGCTCATGTTACGGCAAAGCAGATGACAGGCTCTGTGTGGATTACTCGTCTGAAGTATGTTGATAACACGGGATCTTTATTCGTATAGGTAGTGCTTATCACTACTCACTACATAGAATAAAACAAAGTCGCTTTTTCTGACCCTATATCCCTATGTATGCTTCAATCTTTAAAACTACGCAACGGATTTTGGTAAGTTTGAATTGATAGAATGATTAAAGAAGAAGATTTATGTGTATGATGACATCCATTTAATAGTAGAGTAATTTAGTACTTATAAGTATTGCACGCGTGTGAAGCCGGGGCTGGTCACTAGTATAATATAAAAAACATTTTCTCTCCAATCCTTCCCAATCCCTAAATCCCCAAAAAGGGCCGGTGGCTCGTGTGCCACCTTATCACATACCTAACGAAAAATAGTTAAAATCGAATCATTTATATTTACATTCGAAATGGGTTTGCATTCATAACTAAGTGACTTTTTTCAGACCTCGTATACTGTACTTATGGCTAAATATAATATGTAGTACCGAATAAGTTGCAGATCAAATCTATATATATATATGCCACTACTAACGAGGTGGTCACGAACCTCAGCACGAGCACCTAGCTTCACTGACAAACAGACTGACAGACTACTACCCTATTTTGGCGTTTCAAAAGTACCTGTTGAATGATTTTGAATTTGACTTTGACTTTGACTTCAGCATTGAGGAAACCGAGATCTATTCCACGCGTCGGGTACCTTTTCAATTTCATGATATTTGTATAGATAGGATTAATCGTAAACTGTTTGTTTCTTGTTTATTGGTTTAGTTAGTCTTCTTTTATGATAGAAGCTGATTGCTATTATGTACAAGTTTAAAGAGTTCAGATAAACATTTCAGAAAAAAATTGTAGCTTCGCCTTATAACAAAATCTGATCGATTTAAATCAACCAAAGATTTATACTTTTGTTTTTGTACCGTTTATTTGATGCCTTATCCTTTTAGATAACAGATGTTAAAGATATAAATGCTAATAAATTATGTAATAATTGTCAGTTTTGAAACGCGTTAATGTTCACTACTTTACCTCCCAACACTACTGAATTTTTTTAAGATGTATTGAAATGACGAAAAGAGGAGCAAGACTACAGATTTTTTAATTTAAGTTATTGTTTATTAAGAAAAATAAATAAATTATATATTTTTAGTTTCCAAAAACAAATAATGGCAAAGTTAAGTATACAAATAACAATAACTAAATAGATGATACAATTAAAATCTTAGATTGCCTAATTTAAATTTAACATTTAAAAAAGTAATCACGACTTTTTAGTTTTTAATCTCTCTCGTTAATATCACGTTAAAGTAAAGTAGCTTAAAGAAATGAAATTTTAAACATTAACGATATTAAGAAATGAGAATAAATTACCTTTAGTTTCAGCGTGCTTTATATTTTCTTAAGACCACTCTAGAGACTTTAATGTAAATGAAAATTAAACTCGTTAGCGACATTTTTCAGTAAAATAAAATTTGCCTGAAAAAAATAACGATATTACTCTAATTTAGTAAGAACCTTTAAGCCAAGCGCGGGACAGTTAGACCTCTATTAAGTTGGTATAACTGCTCTACTAATTACTCAAATTAAAGTGTAGGTATCCAATCCTATTAAACCTCTTTTCATAACGTTAAGCCTTTTCAAGCCAACTTGCCACTATTAAGCTGCGTTCCCGATAATTGGAGTTTTCCATACCATTATTAAATTGTCTAAAATCGTGACAGAATATCACCGAGTCAGAATAGGCATCGAACTCGAGGAATCGCATAAAAACAAACGATAAAAATATCCCAAGCCCCATTTTTCCTCAAATACTTTAATGTTACAGTTCGCCATTCTTAAAACAAAGTTGACTATGACGAAATTCCATTACGTCCAGTGACTGTCAATATTGTTTGTTCTCTTTGTCGAACGAAAGAATAACGCCCTAATGGACCGATTAAAAATAAAACCAGCCTAAATATCTGAATGATCACAAATTATTATCCTCGCTCCGTTTCTACGCAAAGCGATGATTAAATGTCCAAGTTTGGCAATAAAATAATGCTGCTGAAAAGCCGACTGATAAATTTTACGCAAAATTATTTTATCACCGACACTCCAAAAGTCATGAATTATTATAATTATAATCTTTGGGTCTGAAAACAACATACGTTAGGTGTTCATACCTAAGTTATACGTTAGAGACGTAATTATTAGCTTATTACAATAATTAAAAATTCGAACGAGAACGTTTTACGTTCGCGGCTTTTCTCAGTAAATTAAATATTAAAAGAGTACTCTTTAATTCCTAGTAATGCAGAGCACATACACGTAGAACGTGTTAATTATATCAATCCTTCTGCATAATGGATACTCAACCCTTCCGGAGAAAAGCTTTTACCCATTCAAGCGACGAGTTTCCGTAGGTGAGTTTTGTTTGATTCAAAAGGGATTGTCTAGAATCGGCATTAGTGAAGTGCCACGAACCGGGTCGTCGTACGAAATGCACCGACTCCCTAATGTTTCGGTTTCAGTCGAGCTAGGGGTTTCAGTGTAACGGCGGGAGAGCTCCAGAGCGGCCGCTTGTCGCGCGCTCCCGATACCGCCCCGCGTAAACCATACCAACACGTAACATATGAACATCGATGTTGGAATTTCTAAATATTGTTTAAAGTTTTTGACGAGGTTCAGAGTTTTTGCAATGTATGTACCGAGGATTACTTCGATGAGTGCATAACAGCGCACCATATCGGTGAGTGCAGAACCACATGTGTAGTAGTAGTACCAGCTCACTTGCTCCAAAATACAGCATTTACGTGCCCGCATCGAGTCCAAACTATGTCGTTTGAAATCGTGAAATGTGACAAGAATATTTCTGGAAATAAAAACTAATTAAGATTTCCTTCTGAAGCATAACTTTGGAAAATCACTTAAGTACTTGCGTAAAAGCTAAAAGCTTTCGTATCGATTGAAATATGATTGGCCTGTGCTAATGACGTTAAAAAATTAATAATTTCTGGGTCGCGGACAGCCATAAAACGCTCGAAAACCCTGACTAAGTATCTCTTAAAACTGTTGGAAGTTGTATCAACTCTTCGATATTGCTTTTAATCTTCTCAAAATTTGTTAAAATTGAATATCTAGTAGAGGAATAATACGGTTCATTAACAAAGTGAAACAATACCTAAAGTTTCCGTCGTTTGCCAGATTGTACGATATCTAATGGAATTAGCCGAAATTAGGTGAATTTGATTTAAATCTCCAACCACGATGTCCGGCAATGTGCTTAATATTTGGAAATAGGCTAGCATTGTACAATAAGTTTAAATATCTGTAGCTAAACTGGAGTGAAAAGATTATATGGTCATACTTGCTTACAAATATACTTATACTTTAAAAAAAAATTACAATTCTGTTAACTCGTATTACTTTCAAAATTCAATTGTTTTCGGTTTAGTTTGCATCTATAGCAAAAATTGACGTTTGATGGGTATTGATTTCTACAGAATTATTGCTTACAATTAAATTACATAATAAATCAAGTAAAAATTAATAAATGTGTATATATCTTTAAAAATATCAATCAATTATTCTAGTCATGAGACAATGTAATAATAAAACAATGAATTTATTTTTGCAAATTAAAACTAATATTATAAATGCGAAAGTTACTTTGTCTGTTACTTTTGTTCACGCCTAAACTACTGAACCGGTATCTGTGAAATTTGGTACAGACATAGTTTGGAACTCGAGAAAGGACATAGGATAGTTTTTGTACCAAAAATCGGCAGGAAGTCACTACAACACGCGAACAGAGTCGCAAGCAAAAGCTAGTTAGCCATAAAACAGCACTTTTACACGTCAAAATAATATAAAACTATGTAAAGCCGGCATTGCCTATCTGACTACTCTGAGAAGAAATGCCGAAACAAACTCAGAGGTCTGTTACTTTTCAAGTCCAAACAATATAAAAGAAAATTTAAGGTGTGAGAATTGTGAAGAAATGAGCCTAACTAATGAGCCGAAACACGAATAATTTGTTAGTAGGCGGTCCAGGTTTACATCAGCCACCTTCCAAACCCACTATCAGGCTATTTGGATAGCACCATAGTATAGTTATCATTTAAAGTCCAGGTTTCATGATGTTATAAATCTACAACAAGAAGTGTGTATACTTCCGATTCTTTTATTACATACAGTTCGTTGAAGGTCGACTTAAAATAAAAATATTTTCTATTTCAATCGTACAAGTAAACGTTTTTATTGCCTTAAACCTTCAATGGTAGGTAATGGTGTATCTGTATCGACATCGTGCCATTCATCATTAGCAGCCTATAAGTGTCTACTACTAAGCAAAGGCCTCTTCTCACACGGAGAAGGTTTGAGAATTAAGCCATTGACTGCCAACAGATTGCTGTTGAGGGTAAATCCTCCGCTAGCATGGCCCACGTGTTGTCCCCCGTGTTGTCAACAAACTTACTCAAAGTGGATTGGCGATTTCAAACTTATAAGTTCAGGTTTCGTCACGATGTTTTCGTTCACCGTTTGTCAGTGGTGTTTAAATAATCATAGAAAGTACATACAACTCAGAAAAAGTCACATTGTTACTTGCTACGTTTCGAACCTGCACCCTCATGCATGGGAAGCGGGGGCCCGAACCTATGAGCTACCACGACATTACATACACATTGTACCATTAACTTTTCATCAATTACCAATGCAATGTAATTCTTATTGTAGTTTTACAATAAAACGTTGTCTTTCACTGTCGTCAGTGCGTTTACAAACACTTCACACCTAGACTCAGAACAAGAATTTGTAGATACATTGCACGGTAGTGCAACCCAGCCACCGCGGTAACTGTGTATTTAATAATAGGTAGTAAGGACACACCGTCCCGATACTAAGCTCCAAGTATTGGAGAAATGTTTCTTTATTAAAAATAATTAGATACTAAGACCACTAACATAAATCGTATGTTAATATTTCTAATCATTTGTCTGATTTTTTTTATTATTCTGTTCGTATATTTTCGTTATTGTGTTCTAATACATCAAACCCCAAGCGAATGGCTCTTATATTGTCTCTCGAATTACCACAATAGAAAGATCCTTTCAAATTATCATGTCATTAATACTTTACAATTTAGAAATTATATATTGACGCCTTTCAATTTAAGATTCATTACAATTAGGTGCGAACTGATTGAACAAGATAAATGTTTGATTCGTTTGCCGACAGAGATCGATCCGATGGCGGAATGGAAAGAGAAAATTTGTTTAAAATCAAATTCATGTTTCATTTCTTTCGCTACGTAAATGTTTTATTTTGCTTTACCTATTAAATATTTGGCAATTCTGTAATTTGTAAGTGTGAGCGATAAAATCGAGGTTTTGAAATTCATGACCAAGCAAAAACCGTTCTTAATGACCTATTTGTTAACTTTCAAAATTATCTGCAGAAATGCAAAAGTCGAATTCCCAGAAAATTTAAAATAAGAACACGGTCGTATTTATACTGCCATTACTCCTTAACACCTATAAATGAACAATACAGAACTTGAAATAATATTATTAATGCGTAAAACTTATTTTATTAAAAGCAATCTTCAATGTTTTACCTATACTTATGTTACTGTATGTACTTATATACCTATATGTATATTAGCCCACATAACGTCAAAGATAACTAACACAATACATAACGCTTTATTATTGTTTTGCTATGTAATTGAGTCTATCAAATAGAGTTCTCTGATAATTAATGTAAGTAAGTAACTATAAATTAACTTGAGGCAATATTTGCTTAAAACATGATCCTATTGCTTATACAGACAGACAAGTTAAGACAACTAGTTTTACTAAGAAACTATGTACATAGGAATACGTTATACTCTACTTTGTTAATATTAATGAACTAACTAAGCCCTAAGAAATGGGAGTACTAACATACCTCAAGTACAGAAAAATAACCTATTTACCTAGGTATCTTGAATACGGTTCAATAAAAGGATGAGTGTCTGTTTAACTGATAAAAGAAATAAGCAAAGGTCTAGTACAGATAAACATTTTACAATATGCCCAATATGCCTTGGCTGAGAAGCCGCCATGTCTTTAGGGAAGTGATTGACAGCGGCAACCTTTCGCATCTGGCCTTCGTCGAGGCCATGGTGCAGAGCGAGAGGAACTGTGACCGTCTCCTCTTTATGCTAAACAGTGATTCTCGCTAAAAAGGAGACGGAAAGCGTGATGAAGCCATCATTCTCACGCCGCCGCGTCGGGAATCGAGCAACGATCTCCGGTCACCCGACCAGAACCAGACCAGAGCATTCGGCGCGTACTGTCCCAGACCTTCAAAGAGTTAATTTCTGTTGGCTCTTTAAAGGCATCACAGATGGGGTGCAAGGTCCGGAGGTTGCGGGTCAAGCGCAATAACATATCACGAGCCTGAAGCAGGAGATGGAACGGGAGGTTTTTAATCAGTAAGAGGCTGACAGGACCCCTCACCTTACCCTCATTTGATGATTTTCCCATCACAAAAAAACCCCAACATCGATTTTGGTAATAACTCGAACGCGTTCGAAAACATACGTGGAAAACCTAGTATCTTGTTAAGTATACCATACCACCATATTAGTAGATGTGGAAGATAAAAATATTAAAATCTAACTACTTACAGTCCCATCCAAGGTTTCTACCCCCTCCTTTTGTTACGTCCACTATGCAAATAAGATTTTAAAATGATTTGATTCTCTGATACAAATGGAGCGTTCATACTATCAATATCTGTCACGATCGAGAACTAAAACAAAAGTAACGCTTGACAATTTAAGAGAGCTATCGATTCCCCTTTTTCCCCCACCGTAAGACGTGAGTACTGAATGTCGAAAACTCATTGTTTAATGTGATGCGGCGGCTTACATCCCTTGGAGTACCTAAGCAATCAGGGGAAAATCATCAATTGACTTCTTCCGCGCAGGGTTAGGCGAGAGAGAGTGTCAGACTCTTACTGACTAAACCCCTCCCCCCCCCCCCCCCCCCCCCCCCCCCCCCCCCCCGATTCTTCCCACGCTGAAAAAGGCACTACCTATGGACACGATTTTTAAGGGAATTGTTTTGGTTTTAGAGATTAAGTGGGTGGGTACGAAAAAGATCCGTAACCGTTAACCCCACTCAAAAACACAACACCGTTGTTGTTTCACGCCGGTTTTCTACCGTCCAAGTCTACGTCTTTTAATATACCAGTCTTGAAAGTCTTTTCTTTCTTTCACCAATGCTTGATTAACTGCTAATTTAGCATCCTTCGGTTCCCTTACTAGTAAAGATACATCAAAAACCTAATACATTAAATCAAGTAAGTCCTCGGGCAATGATTGTTGAGTCTATAAATAGACTCTAACAAACTGTTACGTTTGAAACCAATTAATAGCGGGCGGACTGTCAAACTTTTTCAATAGACCGTGTCTGCATTCTACTATGAACCCCCTTTTCATGTCGCACATTCGAATATCCGTTACTGTACTATCTATATCCTAGTAAAGTTTTGTGATTGGTGCATTTCAGTTATACTAAGGAATGTCTTCTTTTGGTTGAATGTAGAAATATATCTATTTAGCACTTATTGTCGGTCGGAACTGTTAACTTATTAATCAAGAAAAGACAACCATTCTAGATTCGTCTGTTACCTGTGACTTTGCCAAGCTTCAGCAGGGGTGGCTCGACCAGAATGATACCACAGGCACACAGCGTATCTGTTTGAAACAACGATTGCGTTGTACCCAGTTCTTCCCCCATCAACCCTAATTCCCCATCTCTAACAAACCAATTCCACTATTAATTGGACTTGCAGGGGTATATAGGTCCTAATTGCTGACTGATTCTCTGATCTGTATCCGTCATAAAAAATAAGAATGATCGAAATTACACAATATGCACTTGTGTATTTGTACTTTTTTTGAACGTTAAAAGAAAAAACAAATAATCTGTTGGCAACACAAACCCCCAGCATTGTTTAACTTGATAAACAAAATATAAAACGTCGTAATTATTCCCAAATGTCGAATAACAAATACATTTCCGAAACAACTCATTGGGGATTCGGTCCACCAGTAATGATAACGAAATCAAATTGACGACTCTGATTCAATATTTGATATTAAAATAGAATTGATTGACGCTTATCAAGTCGAATTTATTATTGGGGATGCAAGGATGAAAATTTAATTTGAATTTAGGTGGTGTCTTGGTTCAACCGGCGTTGCGAGATAGCACAGAAGGGTGGGGTCTTAGTCCGTAAGAGTCTGACACTCCCTCTCGCCTCACCCTGGGCGAGAGAAATCATTTGATGATTTTACGTTCACAAAAACAAAATTTGGTCTGTTTTTATAATAACTATCGTGAGACATACTAAATTAACTAAAAATCGCGGGTTACTCACGTGTAAATATTGAGTAAGTAGGCTGCGCGACGTCGCCGCGTCCGTGCACGCTGCTCATGAGGAAGAACCCCTCTGTGGTTCGAAATTAGTAGAGCTTTTCTCAATATTTACACGTGAGTAACCCGCGATTTTTAGTTAATTTAGGTGGTCTCTTGGTCGTGTATTACGTCATTTTAAGGATATTTCAATCTTCAAGGCATCCATGGCGGGGCACTCAAAAAGTTAGGGTAATATAAGCAGAATGGGTAATATAATATGAAGTGTGGGAGAGCCAAGCTTCGGCACGAATGGGTCGGCTCGACCGGAGTGATACCACGGCCTCACAGAAAATCGGCGTGAAATAACCACAGCGTTGTATGAGTGACGTTACCGGAGGCTCAATCTTTCCCCTCCCCCGATCCTTCCCAATCCCTTAATCTCCAAAACCTTAATTCCCTAAAAGGTCGGCAACGCTCTCATGACTCCTCCGCTTCGGGTGTCCATGGGCGGCACTGATTGTTTACCATCAGGTAATACGTCTGCTCGTTTGCCGACCTATTACAAAAAAAAAGGATGAAGTTTTGGGCTCCACTTGCCCGCCTTTGGAGGATTGAGCATCCAGTATCCTCAGTCACATGGCAAAGCATCACGTTAGCGTTTTTACGTCAGTTTCCTGTGACCCTGAGGTTTTTGTCCATCCATCAAACTGGCCCATTCGTGCCGAAGCATGGATCTCTTACATAAAATATCGTCGTAAAACGGAATAAAATAGTGATCAATTTGAAATAAATGGTCTACCGTGATCTAAGTATCACTTACAAGGTCCCATTTAATAGAATAAGCACTTTAAATGGTATGGAAGACATCCTGAATGTTTTTTTACAAAAATATTTTTACTCGTATATGTTTACTTACATTTCTCTGCTTTGAGAGACTAGTAAATTCTGATGTCTGCAATCGTTTACACAATGGAAGTAGTGGTTCAGGTTCTAACAGTTCATAATTTCTACAACGACCTTGAACAGAAATGTAGTTAGATTTTAATTATACTACGTGTAAACATTACATGGGAAAGGTAACAGAATCGCCCCTCATTGCAACTTTATAATAAAAAGGAAATTGCGTACAAAAATAGACCTAATACAATGTTATGATAAGCCAGGCTTTTGTATGTAAACGTACAAATATTACAATACAATTATGTACGTGTTACAAGAACAAATTTCGGGACATGAGAATCCGGCGAATATTGGAGCAGTTGGTGCTAAGAAATGCTTCGAACAGCTCGAGAGTGCTACAGCGATACTCAAACCTTATTTAACCTCTTTTCCTTCAAACTTTTTTTATTAAAAGAGATTTTGTAAAGGATATGGTATTTAAATGTAGAACAATATAGACGAGAGAACATCAATATAAGTATATCTAATAACAAAACATACTAATACTTAAAGGTAGAAAGGATTATTGTGTTTGTGAGCAAATGTTAAAAACTACTGAACAGTTTTTGATGAGACTTGGCATAGCTGACGTTATTCGTGACTTATATCTACTTAGATAGAAATTCCATTATTCTAGACTTTTATTGAGGTACATATAAGTCTAAGCTATACTGAAACCGCAAACGAATCTATTTTTGACTCTATTACTAAAAGGATAACGTCGAAAATCTGTTTAAAACTATTTATCAGTAGATAGCTTGAATCTACAACAAAACCTTGATGAATTTCATTAAATTACTGGTATTAATAACGTTTGGGGTCGACATAAAAGCCTGGCAGGTTGAACCGTGAACCCAAGCGAGGTTAAGTATCACTAATCTGTCTCCACCAAACGACTGCCACTACCCACGCGGTAAAACACCTGGTCCTTTGTAAATTTTGCATAATTTTCAAATGTGGCAACACTGGGGGATCTTGTTTACTATTTTTTATGGTACGCTTACTTGAAGATTTTACAACAAAGTAAATCTGGTAGGAAAGTTTTAGTCATGAGAAATGCTGAAGTATTTAGTCTGGTGCTCACTTGAGCACTTTTCAATATTACCTTTTCAGTAAACTATAGCCGGGGCTGCCGGGTAAGCACGTGATTCACCACGGCCTTGGCCTTAAGCAGGAAGGGGGGGTTTTTGGTCAGTAACAGTCTGAGACTTCCTCTCGCCTCACCCTGGGTGGGAGAAATCATTTGATAATTTTTCTCTGACAAAAATACGACATCGATACTTACAGTTAAAAATATATTTAAAGAGAAAATTTTAGATAGATTAAATAAAAACTACACAACATCGTCAAATAAAATTGTACCTATTTATTAATCACAATATTAAAGCAAACCCCAGTTAACACTGATATCAACTTAACAACACATTATTACTCTTTGTCTAGCGTTGAGGATGACGCGAGCATCCACGTCACCGCCTCTGCGACTGCTGGAGCGGTTCGCCAACAGCACACCAGCCCCAACCACCACGACCACCAGCACCAATGTCGCCCCCTCCGTGCCGAAGCCCAGCGCAAACAACAAGAGGCCCACACCCATCATTATTTATCCCACGGGTAAGAGAATATCTTTAAAACATTTTTTCCATGTAAAATAACACACAACATAAATAACCTTATTATTTTCCAAGTGTTAAAGATGTGGAAGTGATGGAAGCAAATTTTCCTTTGTGTGTATGACCTTAACGACACATCTAAGTTCACACATGTACACGAGTAAAACACATATGCACAGATTATTGCCATCATTAAAAAAAGAACACGATTAAACGAGTTATAATTTAACGGCCAAAAAAATTCTATATTTAAAAACAAGAGGGCGTTTATTTATATTTCTGTGGGTTATCTAAACCGACAATACAATGATAATGGAAGAGCGAATTCTGATTTCCACACAATAGATTTGGCTCCCCTGAATTACCTCGTTATATTTCCGCGACCCTTAATCTTTCCGCGAGCACTTCAGGGGCTGCGTATATTTAATTTATTTCATCACGTACTTTTCGAAATCGCTTTACATATTTCGTTACTAGATTTTGAGAAAGGGTAAAAATGCCAAGCAAATAATCCCATCCGTCCTTTCCTAAACTCACTTTAGAATAGAAATACATGTAGTAGTTTCCGAACCTAGGGTAAATGTCTGTTATTTCCGTTGACGTCAGGCAATTTAGAACGTCTGAATATAAAACGGAATAGCAGAATTCTAAGTTCTATAATCAAAATACAATAAACGTAAATCTGACGAAGAAAGAATTACTGCAGTAATTGTTCACGTAGAAATGGATTAACCTTCCCCTTTTAATTAATCGCTATCTACATATGTATGTGTGATCTCTCTGTCTGATCTGTTGCCAATTCGGGCTTGTAACTAATAAGTACATTTCGAGTTGAAGTGTTCTAGTTAGTAGCGTGTCTAATGTCTAACTACAAGAGTGATTAAATGGGTAATTTGCAGCAACTTAATCGTGTAACTTCAATGGTATTCGGAATCTGAGATAAACCAAGTTAATGACTTTTACCTATGCGTACCTACCTGGTAAGATGCGGCGCGATCGATATGTTTACGGTTATTGTATACCCCATTCCGTATTATTAATTGTACATACGATAACTTGAATCACCTTGCTGAATCAGGACCTTAGCTGTAAACAGCACGAAGTCCGATAGTAATTAAAACAAAATTTATACCAAAGTCATTTGTTTTTTATAGAGCTTCAGGCTGTTATCGTGATATTCTGAATAGCAGCCATTATTGCAACATAATGTCCTAGAGGCTTAAAATTTGCTTGATTATTATCACGAACTGGGGCAGCAGTTTCGGTTGCCGACGTCATTATGGCGGCCGGCTCGTTTTCGGTGGAAAGTGAAAAAATGAAAAAGTAATTAGGATGGAAAGAGAAGCTAACATAACCGTAGGTACCATTCTATCTTTCAACGATATATTTTAAAAAGTGGGAAAGGTTGATTTAATTACCGAGATCAGGGTCTGATTTATTCTATAATGAAAAGAAGGAAGCGACGACGTCTAAAATTAGCCTTTGCGCTGTATATTTTGTACCTTTTATGGACAGATTTCAGTTGGATTTAATGAACGAGATTTTCTAGCTACTTATTTGTATTTTTTTTCTATATACAAACCCTGGAATTACTTCAAGTCTGATATAATCCCGGATGCATGCAATTGGCACTGACACAATAGACCAGGGGATTTAATTAGGACTAGCCCGTGACGAATTGTGGATTATGAGTAACTTAATTACTCTAGTAACATTATCTTACCCATTCGGTAGGGCAATATAACTTATAATTTAAAAATGTCCCCTCATGCCCTCCTACAAACAGCCAGTGTCTTATTTAATACTGTTCTCATTTATCGTAGACAAGGCTGTGCACTTAGCTGCCTGTGCCGAGCGTCCGACATCATAAGCACTACACGTTGTAAACCCAGCCATCTAACCATAGATAATAAAAGACTATTTTTAGCCCAACCTCTGCAGATTAAAAATTTCTAGCTGTTTATATTTGATTAGTGTTTCATTAAAACTGATTTTCGTCGTTTTGGTTTTCCAGTATTTAAAATCAAAATATTAAAACGATTAAGTTTCTGTCTCAAGGAATAAATAATAATGAAATGTTGACTATCCAAATGTATCTGTCTAATGTTTTTAGCAATAAGTATTAGTCCCTGAAAGATACTATAAACTAAGTTCCAATAAATCAATGGAGTCCAGTTTTAAAAGTTACTCAGCGTTGCGTAGTAACCTAAACCGATTTTCACTTGTTTCTAACTTAGAATGCTGTCTATCGATCAGCTGTTTTTGACAAACGAAACAAGATGGAGGATTTTAACTGTCTCTTTTTAATTAAATATTTCACCAAGTGTTAATTAAACTTTCTAAAGTAAGTTAAAGCTAAAGTTTTGACGAGGGCGTTTTATTAACAGGTGATTATTAACTTCTGCGAAGTCAGTGTTTAAGTGTAGGGTTTTTTGAACTCCTAGTTTTTAGATAAGCAGTTAGTTATTAAAGACTACACTAAAACCTAGCTAAAGATTAAATATGCCACTTTACGTTAAGAGCTTTATAAGATCAACAATAACTAATATACATATGTTTAGTGCTCTCACTAAGCTATTAAGTTGAGAATGAAAATCTCGAATACATTTAAATAAGTAGCTATGCAAAAATGTATATTAGGATGGCAGTTGCCCTCATAGCGTCGTCAGCGTTTTTGCTCAGTTATTTAGCTTCCAGAAAGTGTTCAGAAAAATGCTTATCTCTAGGCTCCATTTCACTTTGCTCCCATTTCCACAAGCCACTGACTATATTTAAAAAAAATACGTAATTTACCCCAGCACTGTGCGAACATGACTAAATATTTATGCCTCATGTAAATTGTAGTCTGCATTTCAATATGGCGCTCACCGAGCGTCGTACGTCGGCACAAACCGCCTGAATGATTTACGCTGCCAAATGTGCAATTACACAAAAGTTTTGACGACTAGAGTACATGTTTACACACACACCTGTGGCTGAAACACAAACAGGTATATACGTAAATGAAAAATAAACACAAATAGTCAAATGACACGCCTTGTTTTTACTGTGCTCGACTCCCGCACATTGTTGAAACTCGTCGAGGCTTGTTGATTTATACCTTGACATGTACATGGATAGGCGGTCCCGTGTGTGTTTTCGTGGCCCTTTGTTTACACGAAGCGCCGAGAGAAAGAATTTAAACCTATGTTTATTGTTACAGTGACACCGGAATCGATAGTAGTGCCGATTGTATCGTGTATATTCGGCTTTCCATTGTTGGCACTCACCGTTATCTGCTGCTTGAGGAGGAGGGCCAAAATGGCTAGGTGAGTTACGAGCAAACTGTTAATGACATGGATGTAATGAAATTACAGGTCATTTATTGAGCCACGCTGGCCCTATACCCGGCCGGCCCGATAACGTAATGTTCTCCACGATAAACCCTTCAGGGTTCGCTCGTTCGCTTTTAGGTCAAATTCCGTTGATTTAGGACATTGAGAGACCTTTTCATATTCTAGTTGATTCAGGTCATCTTTTATTATTCCTTATTTAATAGTGTAAAATGTTAGCTTAACAAATAAAGGCACCATTTTCCGAATTTACTTACTTAATATAAGAAAAGCAATAGGGCGTAGGATTTTGGTAAATGATTCCGCCTTGCCCCGTAAAGTCCCGCTAAATTCCCGTATATGCGTTCCGCGAGGGAAGCAGTAACACGTAATGTACGTGATAATGATGATTGATTCAACTGGGATCGTATACGGTTGTTGTTAAATTCAGCGTCAAAGCCCCTACAGAATAATCGAAGCAATTTTACGCACTGCAGGATAATAAAGCGTTGATTTTATCGCACAATACTACTCATACAATAGAGCGAGTAACTGATACACACTTTGTTATATGATGTGTTGAAGTTATATAAGTTATAACAGATATTCTCATCAAATTCTGCAAATGAAAATGATCTTAGCTAAGCAATAACTTTGTTAGGCACCTCGTCGAAAATTCTGTCGAGTCAGCTTCAAAGGAATTCTTGCCGCGCCATCAAGTAGTGTCTCCATACAAGTGTAAGTGCCACAAATCACAGTGACGGAAATTCTCCTTCAAGTTTTCAATACAAAAGATATTTTCAGAGAGCGAGCGAGGCGGCGAAATTGTGAGCTGGACCGTGGGGAGCTGTCAGTGGTAAAGATGTCTCCGGTAAAGACGAAACCGCGTCCTGTCAGCCTGATTCGTTCGCCAAGACCGCCGCCTACTCTCGAACTTGACACCGTGCTTGAGGAACGCTCCGACCCTGAACAGACTACACTCTCACAGGTACTTAAGTCCCACGAATACATCTAAGTCATAAACAAATACAATAAAGTTGTGTGTACTAAGTCATTCAGTCTGGGAACTAAGACATTACAAAAACTCAGAGAAACATTTCGCTGGGTGCTGCGGTTTATCGCGGTCCCAAATAAAACAAGCGAACCTCGACTTTTATGTGATTCTAGATTATTTAACATACTATACTGTTCTCACGATGTGAATGTGAATTTATCATGAGTTTCGGCTGTGCTAAATAAAGCATTCGTAATATAAAAAGCTTTTGTCTCAAAGATAGGGTACTGTCTTCTCGATAGGTATAATTTTGGATGTAAATAATATTCATATATCCAATGCCTACTTCAATATTGCAAATACATTTTGTCTCTACCGAATTTTATTTGTTCTATCGTTGAAATTGTGTGTCATTACGTATCCTCGAGTGTTTATGTTTGTGCGTCACCATTTTAATTATGGTAAAGGTCACGTGATGGGCCTTCTTGTGTGCACGTTCTGTATTGATGACTATCGCGGATTTAATAAGTTGTTTGATATAACTGCGGAGATTATTAGTTGTGTAGTAGTTAAATGCAAGGGCTTTTATTTAGGTGGAGGTGACGCCAGATCGCGAGGTGGGTACGATACTGTTTGGAGCTGTGGGTGCTATGGGTACGGCGGCGGCCGCGGCCATGTGCAACCGGGACAGCTAGCGGCGGGGCTCGGTGCAGCCTGGCGCGCGCTCTCCGCTCTGGGCAGCACTCACGAGCCAACCTCTCGACGAAGACGACGCCGACGATGACGAAACTGCTGGCGAGGACAGCTAGCAATTGGACGAGCGCTCCATTGTCGACATCGGCGAGCGCATGAAACTTTTCCTAGACATCCCGCTAAGATTCTGAAATGTTGTAAAAATGTGTCAATCATTTTCTGATTACTCCATCTTTAATAATGAATATTATCAAAAATAAATCCATCCTTCTAATCATCAATCACATCGGCATGTTTGTGAATAAGTACTTATTGAGTTTTTTTATTCTCTTAGGAAACGTCTGAAGTGAACACTTCATTATGTTGAAGTGCCAATGTAGTGGTCACATCTGTCCCATAGAACTGAACGAGTTTCAGGCCACGTACAATAGAGCGTGAAAACCCTAACTGACATTACTAAGAATAGTGACCCAGTATTAGGAAAAAGGTTCAAAAGAAATCTTAGACTTTGAAAGGCCTACGTAGGTTATAATCTAGGTATTAATAACCACGAACTAGGAGGCAAACGTTAATCATTCTCTTCAAGACCGCTCTTTTGAGCTCACTCAGAATTTAAATTTGGAAGTCGTTCTAATATTTAATAATTATTTACCATGTGGGTTGGATTTTTTTTTAAATATGTTAGTGTTGTTCCGCTGTACAATTAAAATTTATTTATTTATTTATTGCTTTTGTAAAAAGTAAGTCTAGTCAAAACGTTATGTACCTAACTTTAATGTAAGATAATAGACGTAATTGTTAGTTTAGTCATGTATATAATGTATGCACTAATTTTGAAATGGCACGATGATACCTAGGCTTGTATTTGTGCATAGCACAATATCATGTAGAAATATTATGAGACGATGAATTTAAAATCGAAAAGAGATTACGCGTAAGGCCGCTTCTGACATACTCAAAGACATTTAATGATTATTTAAATTATTCCTTAGTATTAATTTTTGTTTCTAAAAGGTATGCTAAGGACTAAGTTGAGTAAACATTGAATATCTCAGAGTGCGTGTAAAATTGACTGTATTGGATAGACGGAGCGAATTAGTTGAATGAATAAAGGCAGCTTAAAGTCGTTAGAAAATATAGATGTTTTAATATTTAATGTTAAGTGAACTATCAAAATAACATACCTACTGAAATTACTTAAATAGGTATAATACACGAGACCAATTGTGAATTCTACCAACGTTTACTGTAACCTATATATTTAGATAAATTAAAAAATAGAAGGTACCTACATAATATTATAGTATGCGATTTACAAGTTTGTGTAAAATAATGACAAAAAACCGAATTTTTTATCCGTAGTTTTCAGCTTTTTAGCCAATGTACATATACCGGTGCGTGTAAGATTCATAATGCTTAAGCCACACTAACGGGAAATGCCATTAATTATCGCGATAATGGACGTTATTTGGGTAATTTGAACAGTAAACAAATAATTTAAGGTATATTTTTCATTGTTTAATATCATCTATTATCGCGATAATTATTGGCATTAACCCGTTAGTGTGGCCCAAGCATAAAGAATACCTATCGAATTCAAATTTCGAAGCATTCTTTGTACTCGTGCATTAATCGACACTCGTTAAAGGACTTTATGTTAACGTAAATAAATACAAATTTTGTTTGGCATTGCTAAATTTACTAAATGGAAAGAAGAATAAGCTATTAATTTATGGTAAAATAAAAATGTAATGAATGCTCTCTTCTATTTATTAGTGCTTTTACGTAGAACATTCTGGGTCGCTAACATTGCGGGAAGGCATTAAAGATATTGAATAGAAATAGATAAAGAGTGTTTTATACTTATTAATAAATATGCAATAAAATAGCAAGGAAATAGTTATTACCAATTACAAGAATTCTATGAAAACGATCCGATGCAATATAGCTCTATGAATTTATATTTATCGATTCGATGCAATCACTTTAATTATTATTTATATAAAATGAAATTGAAAAAAGAACATGCCATTAGCCAATGATAAAACAATACGAAACAGTTCTACCAACAGTAAAAAAATGTCATCACTCTACGTAAAATAAATCATGATTATTTTGTGCGTAGGGATAAACTTTTCAAGCTAGGCTTATAAAGGATTTTTTACGGTATATGGTTACCTAAATCTTTTGTTGAGCAAACATTGAATGGGTGGCTAATATGTAGTCCACACACGAAGCCCCAGTCACGTTCCAACTCAAAGCTTGTGTCTAGAAACGATATTTTCGGTGTCTGTTACATTGTGTAATTACTTAATTATCTCTACTTCATTATGAGTATACAGCAAAGATAAGTAAGCACATTATTAATTATTTGCTTATAGGCATAAAATATAAGTTGCTATAATCCCGTGTGATCCGATTTTATATAATGTTTTTGAAATTAGAATTTTCAATGACAAATTGTAATTGAAATGTAATACCGAAATTGTAAAATCATTTGGGACTTCCTTATAAAATTTCTAAATCAATTAAAACTAATACAAATCATACTTATTTATAAAACTCCTCCATGTAAAAGAATGTATAAATAAAATGTATTATTAATATAATTAGAAAGACAGACTATAAAATAATTTATATACATATACTTATACTTGTTATTTCTTTTCTAATTTACAATAGAAAAAAAAGGTATATAATGTTAACATTATTTATAACATAACAATATTATTTTCGTTTATTAAGGAAAAATATTTATTTATGTTAAGAATACAATTTGAATTTAAATAAAGAAAACAACCTGTATAAATAAGTACAATCGACAAAATGCACGAGTATCTACGTATGTTTGCATAGTATGGAACAATTGAAACGAATGTATATCACTAGATGAATTATTAAAGTCTGTTTCGTTTATTGTACCGTTGTGTTTTATTTTTGCCATGGAAAAATAGTTCTTTTGCGTATAATAATAATAATAACAAAGATGGTTGATCTCAATTCTTGTATACCAAGGCAGATAGGACGCGATACATAGTTGATGGACGCGCGGTGGTTATATTGCCGTGAATGGTATCAGGATTTATGTGTGATCCAAATATTGTTGTTCCGGGTCTAGTGTATGTGACTTTGTATGTTCGTAAACACACCCACGACACAGGACAAATTCCTAAAGAGGATTGATGAAAAATTCTTGTATTATGCAATTAATCATTGATTCCAACCTACCTATAATACATATTATAAAAGTCAGTGCGTGAGGTGAGGTGAGTGAGTGAGGTAAGTTAGGGCGTGATGCGACGATAAATTTTGGGGGGCGCCAAGGTCAGAAATTGGAGTCTCTTGCCTCCCCTGGTGCAAACCCTCAGAACTGTGCTGTGCGCTCTGCGTATGCCTATGCATATTTATATTGATATTTTCTTTACCACAAACCCTCAAAAATCCTTTTTTGAGGGTTTGTGGTCGAGGAGTGACTGTAACGAAAAAACTAACACTTGATATTGCTTCCCTCAAGTGGGCGCATACATTACATATTATCTACTCAACTAATCTTTTTCAAATTCCGCATACGTATTTTACGGAAAAGGATATAAGTACGAAACCCAGTAGTTAATCGGGAAATTTTGAAAATAAAAACAAAAAATATTATTTTAAAAATAATATTACCTACCTATTTTTCTATTTAATTAGGAAATACGCAGCGCCCTTGAAAATAGACTCTAACTTCCGGCCATGGCAACGAAATTCGCATAACACGTGTAATGTGTTACCAAGTAACAATGACCCACATAAAAAAACTTGTTTCGTGAATTTGAATCTTAATCATCGAAACTAGTCTTTATAACCAAGTCCAAAGGTTTATAATCCGTTGAATGTAACCTTTACATAATAGGGGTCGAGTCCGTTGCATATCTTACATGATCTAGGAACAAGGTGAAGGTTATTTATGAAATCTTTTTTAATCTGTAGTCTTTGCCGCCATAAATAATGCGTCTTAGATATTATTGACATTTATTTTTCAATGTTAATCTTTTATCATTCAATATTTTATTAATTTAAATCAATGTGTTCTACGTCATAAACGTCATGTTATTTAATTATGTAGTTATTTGTATAATATAGATTTTTTCTAGAAAAATCTGAGGTCAATGAATTTTCTTTATTTTCTGCTTTCCTTCAATTCTTCTTCCTTGTTGGGCCAAACAAATAGCAATCGAACTACAAGTCAGGTGTGGAGCCTTCCGGTTTCGATTTCCGTGCAAAATAAACCTTAGTATTATTTACAAATTGCTCAAGGTATCTAATATACAATTTCACATAAACGTCACGTTTATGTGAAATTGTATATTTATAAAAACGACACAGCACAAAATAGAGAAGAAGCTATAGAGCAATATTTAAAAAAATCATAGGTACCTACAGAAACATGGCTGAATTATATCTGGATAAATTTAAGTAGGAGTTACTTAGCGTGATGGAGAACATCCGTTGACGCCTTCTGCCTCATATAGGGGCACATGAACTTAAGTCAAGAGCTACTTACATTACTTCGCAACATAACTAACTGATGTTATAATCAATCGTCAAACTTAAAGTGTTGTAAGTAAGTACTTTAAGAATGTTACCTTGCCCCAAGCAAAATAAACAAATAAGTATCAACTTCAGTTAATTATTTGAATGATGGATAAATAGGTATACATAACAATTTTCACACTAGTAATTCTTTTTAGAGTATGCTATGATATATAAGTATAATTACGATTAAGTATTTAGCTGGTAGGCCATAGCATGACAATATCGTGCGTAGATACGTTGTTTTGAACACGTTTACATTGTAGTTTTTGTATTGTACTAGTTTATTATAGTCATTCATACATAAGGTCTTCTTTGCTATTCTATATTATAGGGCAATAATAATATATTCAAACATCAGCTTTGGTTTAAATGACTGGTACGAAAGGCGCGTCATAAACAATTTAAAAACATACGATTCAAAAAAAAAATCGATGTTTAATTTATTGTAAACAATGTAGGCGCAGCACTTTTAAACCGGCCAGGAATTAAATAAAAATAAATTATACATAATGTAGAGTTTATACATTTTAAATCCAATGGCACAATGACCTTGTACAGTAACACTGCAAAGCACACCCATGAACTCTATCCATAAATTAACCATAAAAATAATTATGATCATAAAATTTGCCTTGATCAGTTCCAATTCTTCTCATACCGATTCTAACATCAGAAGGTCAATGTTACTTAATATTTTGTATATCTATTACAGTTCAATGTTTCCTCGTATCAACATGACTATGCATTATTTTTCGCGCCATTGTTTAACACTCTTTACGTAAAATAACAATATGGAGGCCGAATGACCTAACTAAGTGAATATACGTGATAAAGTTATTTCAGCTCAAATTAGGTCAACACCATGTGATCGGCTTGCTAATCTGCTTTTAATAAACGCCCGACATTTTAAAAGCCTCGTTAGTTAGCTAATTTGCTTATAACTTAAACGGTAGGATTAATATGTAATGAATATTTTCATACAAGATTTATGATAAGTTTAAGTAATTTGGTTTATAAAAATAGTCTCACAATTCAACTTTTTAACGAACTAAAATAACCGTCGCCTTGAATCTAATCTCGAAATGCACAATGTGCTTACATTTTTTATTTATTATACCTGTACGACAATTTGTAACTATGTGAAAAAAAAACAAAACGTCATTCAATTCAATTTATGGCGTCTTGAATAAAAGAATTGTTCTTTTAAAGTTCTAAATAAATACGTGATAAATGATAGAGAGGAACACTGCGAATGACGAGTAAACAAAACAAATCTAAATAATTATGCTCAAGTGTTTTCCAAAAAAAATCAAGGATATCTTAATTACGGTTCTAGAAGAAAACCCATTTTTTACAGATTGATACTATTTTTACTACAGTACAAATTGTTACTTTAAACAAACTCTTATCAGCTACTTACCTAAAAGACGTTTTCAGCCATTAATTATTGTTTAATATCTAAATAACACATCACCAAAAATGTCCCTTAGAAACTTCCAGAAAGAAACTGCTAACAAACCCCAAGGTAAATTGTACATAATAATAAAATTAATAAGGTACACAATACCATGATCGGTTTCACGTCACCTCTTGACTGAGTGAGATCGTAACAAGATGGAAGTGAGCCGATATGTCTGTGGTGACACCGCCCGCTAACTATACAGGGACAAATACTCGTTCATATATCAGAACTCGATAGAGGAAGTGGAAACCACAGTAGAATAAATGTATAGCTGGTACAGCCCAGTAGATGGCCCCACCATCGATACAAGACGTGTATTGAGTAGGGGCGCAATTTACATTTGCAAATGTGTCAGTAAAATGTTTTTAGATTTTATTGGTGTATTGGGAAAACATATTAAGTATATTTTTCCTAACATTTAATGTCATGGATTTCCGCAAAGTAACGCCTGATTCTATAAATTATATTAAGTATAGGTTTCATACTCCGTTGTATGAGTTTAGGGGTAGTTCAAATAAGCTGACCTCTGATCCTTTATGTGGTCGAAAAGTAGGTAAAAACATTATTCTTTTCAATGACATTTAATTACACATTATACACAGGAAATGTTAAGCAAAATATCCCGGTCTTCTCCGCCTATAAAGAAACCTCTATGTTACGATAGATCATACATAGAGCTAATAAAATGTTCTGCATAAAATTTTAAAAGATCCAATAGCGAATCATTTTAGCTTATTTTATGCTTAAATTTTCAAAGTAAGAACAAAGTGTATCGAATTACTGCACTCTCATTTTTACTGAAGCCGGATGGCACGTATGTCGCGTTCAATTTGGAGCGATTTTATATTTTAAATTTTCTTCGCTGGCAATCCGGTGCTGGCCGGGACATAATGGACATGGAAAATCTTTCACATTCTTCAAATTAAAACTACTTTGGCAAGTATTACTTAGTTAAATTTACTAATTGATTGATCTATTTTTCCGTTGCTGAACTTTCGGAAAAAAAAATCACCCTTGTTTGGAGATTGGAGGACTTTAGGATTAGATATGGAAGAAGATTTGAGCTACGGGTAACCTCATAACCTCTCACGCGGGGATTGATAACGCAAGCGTTGTTCCACGCCTGATTTCTGTGAGAACGTGGCATTACATCATCATATGCTCCGAAGCATGGCTGACACTCACACCTAGGTCAGGGTAATTAATTTATTTTCTTTTCTGTTCTAAAGCTTTTTTCTTCATTGCAAAAACTACCAAGGTAGTCGTAAAACAAAATACTCAAATGGAAAAATAGATTTGGGCCCGAACACAAATTAGGACAAAAAAATTCGGGATAGATAAATTTAACAGCACCTGTTTATTAACACAAATACTGACACACACAACTGTTATGGACGACTTGAGGAATAATTTAAACTACGATTAGTAAGTTCTGTACAAGATTTATTTTATGGGAACGTGGCCGAAGTTCGGAATCAATGATAGGTCGAACTTCAAACCCAGCCGGAGCGGTTACTTGACCAACTTTTGTTCAACTTTATCAAAAGTTTCTAATACCGTTTAGCTGTCGAAATAATTATTATTTACTTTTTGTCTAGGTAAATGTATTTTTAAATGCAATTTAGTATCTGAAATTGATATCACACATTTGATTTAGTTTTTAAATAATTGATATTGCAATTATTACCAATATTGGTAATGATATTATAACTTTCGTAAGACATTCTAAATTATTTATTATGTTTTCGGCTTACTCACGTAGTATTTTGACGAGATACTCGACTAGTTTCAAGCCATGCTAGAGGCCCATATTCATGAGCAGCATTCCGCGACACGCGACTCGGCGACTCGATTAATGATAATTGCTACATAATGTTTTTGGTAAACATTTAGTTACTTATACGAAATGTGACTGTCTTATTTCCAGTAACTTTCCAATCATAATCTCGTTCTTAAGTAATCTATAATTTCTAATATACTATCTCTATTTTTGTCTAAATACCCATAATTATCAGACGATAAATAAATTATGTAAGATCACCTGATTTAATCATGGCGCCGCTCCGAAAAGCGCGCCAAACCTTACTCAATTTTCAACTTTCGAAGCCTACACGCATAGATAAACCATAAACCATAGACACTACGCAAAAAATCGGCGGTCAAATTCATCGATGTTGCAATTCGAACTTGGACTTCAACGGTATCTATTTCTATAACAAAATATATCGATTGTTGTTACGGAGACACGTTTACTAGTCCAGTGGCAAGGTCGATAGGAGCTGGACAGCAGTTTATATTGCGAGTAGTTGTGCCCGCGCCTGACCAATACTCGCGTCGTATTCGTAGTAAGCCCGCGCATGCGTGCTGCATCCGATAACTCGATAGGTTCATCATGCAGATACTATAACACATAATTTACATGCGTGTGCTTATTATGCCAGTTGACGTGAGCCTTTAACTGTGCCAGTGCGGTGATTATTTAATTCATGTTTACATGAATGAAGTGCCGGATTATTTTTTCGGATTTTTTTAGCGTGGTGAGTATTTTGTTTTTTTTTATATGTTAATAATATAGGTACAATAAATATAGACTATTTTTCGGTTTCGGTTCGGTAATTTTAAATTTCGCATACCTACCTATATTTTTTATAACGCTTCCCCCTTGCAGCTGTAATCAAATATAATTGTAGCTGATATATTTGCTTAACTTTCCACAAAATCACTGCTAGTAAAGCCGGACCACTTACAACACTTATACTACCAAACTAGGATTTCAACTTACGCCTCTTGGACTATTGCAATTTACGCGACAACTATATTGTACAACAACGAACTATAAACGTTAACACCTTAAGAAACATTATTGCATAAAAATCACGAAAGCCTAAATCCGATTTGTAATAACCGTGTTAAAATATAAAGTAAGTAGGTAGGTACACCTACATAATTGCCAAAACAAAACTTTTTTCGACTGTGCTGACATCTAACAATGTTTTCTCTATTATTTATGGATATAAATGAAATATAATATAAGATTGTTCTTTGCGCCAATTTTAAACACAGCAATCATGAGTTCGATCTGGGTTCGTTACAAATTAACGTGTTCCGTCAACCAAAATTATACTGACGTCATAAACTAAATACATATTATCACCTACCATCCCTACTAATCGCATTGACAGGTAAAAAAATAGTTTTAGTTCTTTTTTTTAGTTCAAACGCAAGATAATGTGATAGGTAACCTATTTAAATTACGAAATAGGTAACCTTGCTTTTAATTTTTCCGAAATGGAGTAATTTGTTATCTGTTTATAGTCAACAAAAAATTAGGAAATTTATAAATACTGCGAGCATACATAAAATCGAAATAGATAATAAAAAAGGTTGTTTTCATTAATAAAATTTAATCGTAAATAACCGCATTTACGCAATAGCTTTTCCTAAAATAGAAAACTAAACGTAGGTTCACATGGCAAGAAGAACAATTTTCTACAATGAAACAGCATTCCTGACTGTACCTAAAGAGGTTTATAGATAAATACTAAGCGCTAATAACTTGCACAAACTAATCGCCAGTAAAGTTAATCGATGACGTATGACGTGCGTTTCCCGCGTAATTCCATACGCATTGCGCAATATTAAATATGGCCACTCACGATTTTATTGCATTACTTCATCAATTAAAGGATTTCCTAGCCTCGTTACATTTGAACTAGGAATCTAGAATTATTCTTTAACTTATTAGCTATTACTTAATAATACTTAAGTACCTACGTATAAATAAAAACAAACATGTTTCATTTTAAAGTTAAGGGAACTTAGGTACAATTCAACCATACCCTTATGACCATAGACTAATTTTTCTAGTCTTTTTCGGAAAATCATTAAATGACTTCTCCCAATGTGGGTGTTAAGGAAAGCACGAAAGCGAGTGTCAGTCTCTTACTGACTAAAAAACAACCCGTTCCTCTCTTGCTCCAGGCCGGGACCATGGTACCTACGTTATTTCGCTTGTATCAGAGGTCTTTAGATAGATTTCTGCTAGGATTAAAAGTAGGTATACTTTATTATGATATACCAGACACCAATATTTGTACAACCGAATTTTCTTTACGTTAACGCAACGAGAACGTTGCCTCATTTAGCCCTCTGATTGGTTGATTAACTTAGGGTAGGCCCCGCCGAGGTTACGGGGCAAGAGCAATGTGGCACCGCGGCCTTTGCCCAGAGCAGAAAAAGGAACGGTTTTTAATCAGTAAGAGCATGACACTCACTCTCGCCTAGCCCCGGGCGGGAGAAGCCATTTGATGATTTTCCCATAACAAAAAAAGGGCAGGCCAATTAGAGAACAGAACCTCATAAACATGTCGATCGCCTTAACGTAAAACAAATTCGCAGTGTCTCTTCGTTCTTTTCATTAATAAGTAACAAATATAGTTACATCTTTACAAAATTTCGCAACTATATTATGTCGTAGGATATTAATCTTAAAATTTCAATGACACCAACTCGTAGAATAAGGTCCATCTTCATGCCATTTGGCAATAGACTCTGTTTTTAAGCAATAAGCCTGTTATTTGGCTGTATAACTAGTTACTCGTATGTTATCTAGTATTTAAGGACTTTAGAAACTAGTAAGCATCTTCTTTAGCTTGCTCTTGAAGAATAACATACCAACTTAGACATTCTAAAAGTATTAACATTTTACATAATTGCATAGATCCATAGGTGGCTTTACCGCCTTGTTTTTTAAATAAATTTAAATTAGTAGGATTTAGTTAGAGTTACAGGTGCATGTCCAATAACGAACCGCGGCCCCGTAAACACCGGAACAAAGGACGAAAGGAGATGACAAATATTTTCCCCTCTCAAAAAAAAGTAATTTCGGGCAAATAATGATTACTTAAGCTAATCCTTGTTGTAAGAACCAACTATAATGGTCGAATTAAATAACTCCATTACCCTATCCCCCAAGACCCTAATCCTCCAATCTGTAATCCCCAAAAGGCCAGCAATGCACCTGTAAGACCTCTGGATTTGCGCATGTCCATGGACGTGTCATCTATTTTCCATCAGTGTGCCTAGTGCAGGTTTTCTTCAACGTTAACGTTACCGCGTTTAGTCTTGCGATTGGTTAGTTCAGTTTCAGCGAGCCAATCAGGGCAGAACCTCATAAACGTGTCTAGCTCCTCAACGTACACACGCACTAAGAATCCAGGTGATGCGTCAGCCCGTCCGCTCTATATAATAAAAACCGATCTCTGGATCGATCTAGATTATTTTAGATGTTTAATAGAAATTCAATAGAACGAGCGAACGGACGTCATCTGATAGTAAGCTATCAGCGCCGCCCATGGACATCTGCAAAACCAAATGAGTTGCAGTCAATGATGTATAAAATACGTCATTGGTTGCAGTAGCGTTGCTGGATTTTAGGGGCAATGGGGTAATAGTTTTGAGAATCTAGGCAACCTCATCTACACGATTAAAAAGCGAGTGAACAGTGTTAATCATAACATTACATACTTAAATACTTACTCAATACATTCGTTGCCACATAATTATTAGAAATAGTCAAAAAAATCTTTTAGCTAGAAATGTTCATCAGTCATCTGGCACCATGCCATGCGAGGTTATCATCTCTGCTCGTTAACGATGTCAGCCTAAATTCTACACGAAAAAACACTCCACTTTACATGAACAAACACATATGCCGCAAGTAGGTATACATAAACTTATTGTTATAATAAAAACCGTATTTGTCAAAACCGCAAAGTAACATATTTTTTTATTAGGTATATTGATTATATTAATTTAAACAGTATTCTTTACGAACTATGTGGTGTGTGTGTTGAAAATTATTATGCTTTTTATGAACTAACTCAGCGGAAGATGTTAATTTCTTAATTATGTTGTAATCGAAATTGAAGGTAAATAACTTCATTAAACTCTAATCAACCAGTCTTAAATATTCACAGATAAAAAAACTCACAGATTAAAAATACTGAAAGATCTGTAATATGTACATACCTATATCCTTTTCTATCTAAATTACTAAATGCATTAATCGATTTTTATTCAAATAAGTACTATCGTTATAAAGATACCTTTGCGTCACTTTTTACTTTACACCAAGTATTTGAAAGAACTGATTAACTATAATCGGCTGTTAAAAAAAAAAGAAAGCAGACTAGTTCTTTATGTGCTAGTTTGGCAAAAAGCAGGTAGATTACCTGATGGTAAGCAATCGGCGTCGCCCCACGCCACGCAAGATGAGTTACGAGTGTGTTTCTGGCCTTGTTAAGGTTTCGGATACCTATTAAGGGATTTAGGAGGGAAGGAAATTTGGAACCATTATCCGCCTCACTTACACGGCAAAACACACCGCAGCGGCTTTGCACGCCATTTTTCTGTGAGGCCCTGGTATATCACTCCGGTCGAGCCGAACCAATCCTGCCGAAGCATGACTCTCCCACATTTAAAAGGTTCCAACTAAAACAATTGCATTTACCTACTAGCTTTTCAGAAACTGGCAGCTATCTAACCACATTATGTACTAAATAAACAACTACAATTGCTTAAAAACATGGAATATTTTTAAAACCGCACCACATAATAAATTTTTGATTAATGAACGTAGCTGTATCAACAAAATCCATTAAAACTAACTGGGCATGGAAAATATATGAATATTTAATAAGATGACCTCTGATGTAACATACATTATATTCATGGTGACCGGAACGCATTCTTTCCATTCGTGATTTTGTTTTCGTGTTAAAAATGCGTAACATGTTTAGAGAGGCCAAGGTTACACCTTGTTAACACATAAAATAACACCATTAATCACTACAGGATATTATAACTGTTCATCATCATCATTATCATTAGCCAGTCCCTGTTCCTACCCACTACTGGTCATAGATCTGTACAATAACATACTACTACATACAACCGCAACCGTTCAAATCCAGAGGAACTGGGAAGCCGTCTCCTCTTTTTGCGAAACAGTTATGCTCCCAAAGAAGGCGGAGCGCATGACGGAGCTGCCCTAGGCAATATTCTGGGCGGCGGGGATCGAGACACGATCTCCCAACACCGTAAGCGCGGGTCTACACTCGGCGCGTAAGGGTAACTCGCCGCCCGACCAGAACCAAACCCGAGTGTACGGCATGTAGCGTTTCAGGAGCACCTCCAAAAACCAATGACCACCACAGACGGGCCACCACCACCCTTTAGGACTGATGATTAACCGGGGTAAGCTCAATGGCATATAAGGCACCGCGGCCTTGACTTGGCTAGAGCAGGAGACGAAACGAGGAGAGTTTTAGTCAGTAAGAGTCTGACACTTCCTTTCGCCTCACCCTGGGCGAGAGAAATTATTTGATAATTATCCCCTAACAAAAAAAAGCCGTCCAATGATCCAATTCTTTTCAATCTGTCTGCGAAGAGTGCTAGAGATCTTCAAGTACCTATACATTGCTCGAAAAGAATGATGCAATACCAAACAACATAGATAGGGTTACCGGTAAGTCGG